GTGCGTGCTGCCCCCTGCTCGCTGGGCTGCGCTTTGGGGGTGTGCACGGCCTTCGGGAGGGGGCCCCGGCCGTGAGCGCCCAGCTCCCTGCCCGCATTGCCCCGGTTGGCGGGGCGCCCTCTCCCACCTCGTTCGCTCCTCCGTGGCCAAGGCTGCGGGGCCTGGTCCCTTACTTGGGAAGGGGTTCCTTGTAAGTCTTTAAACCCTTCCCCCAAGGCAGCGTCCGCCTGGGGTTTGCTGCATTCCTATCTGCCCCGGGGAAGCCATCTTACACCCACTCATGCCTTCCCTGCCCCAGGGACCGGCGATCCAGCATTTCGCTGGCCCGGCGCATCCGAGTTTGGGGGTTTTCCTTGGGCTGGCGAGTTTGAGGGGTCTTCCTTGAGAGAAGCAGTGCTGCCCTGAGCGGTGCAGTGAGGAGACCTGACGGTGCGCTGCCCTGGGCTGCCCGCGTGGGTGGTCGGCAGCCCCGACGGCGTCGACCCTGAGCGCGTAGTCGTGTGTATTTTATGCTACGTGATATTCCGGTGGAGAGTTCGATCCCAGCTCCTGACTGCAGTGCAGCTCGAGGAAGAGCCAGAAAATGATGGTCCGTTGGATGGCAGGACTTTGAAATGAGAATGCATTATCTCCTTCAACATGAGTCAGAGGTTTTTTGTTGTGACCCATTTTTAAAATTTCGGTCGTTTTTTAGGTAGTATGGACATTGTGTTGAAAGAGAACTTATTCGTTGTCATTTTAAATGAAACGTTTTCCCCCAATTTGGTGTTATTTAGTTTTGCAGTGCTGGGGATTGAACTCAGGGTCTTAACACTGAGCTGCATTCCCAGCTCCGAATTTTTTTGAGACCGGGTCTTGCTAAGTTAGTGGCCCAGGCTAGGCTCAGACTTGTCCTTCCTCCCGCCTCAGCCTCCCATCCCGTCGTGCTAGAATTAAGGCATGCACCGCCACACCCGACCCACTGTGCTGTTTAGTTTCGACTTTTCTTTAGGCAGTGCCAATCGTGGCCACACAATACGAATTTTTGGCCTTAAAAGCTTTCAGTCAGATCTTTAGTGTGCGTGGGGTCCTTAACTGCACAGTGCGAATGCAGATTAAACATTGGTGTTTGACCTAACGCTTTTTCTGAAAGCCAAGGAATTATTTACAGAAATTCAAAAATCATAGTGAAAGCATAGTAAGTGGGCTCAAAATAGTACTTTTATCGATGATCAGGGCAGACTATTTTATACAAGTGTCTTGTATGTTCCTTGAAAATGCTCCAGTCTGCAGACTTGGAAGTACATTAGTGAATGTGAATGTCATTTGTAAAATCTAGGGCACTGCATTAGGCAAATGTACTCCATGATCTACAGCAAAGATAAATCTGCTTGAGCCTAGTTGCTGGCTGTGGTCCAGCCTGGCCACACTGGTGTGATGAAAGAGTTCTCCCCCTGCTCTGTCTATGCCTGGTGCGGAGCTCTTTGTGGGAAGTGGTTGGGGTGTGTGCCTGTCTCACCATTTGGAAATGTGGAAATAGATGATGGCCTTTGGAAAGATCGAAAGCCTCCTAAGGGGTGTGAAAAAGAATGCTACTGCAGGTAAACTCCTATGGGAAGTGGGGCTTAGGTACTGGGCAGTGAGTAACACTTCAGAAGACTTACTGCCCCCCATACCTAGAAGTAAAATTGTTGGTCATTGGATACCCCTGTTTAACTTTACAAAAAGTCTTTTGCATTTCAAAATGATTTAGACTTTTTTCAGGAGTGTTTCTCTCATATCTTAAATATAACTTGGTTATCCAAAACCTTAAATCTCTGTGAACGTTTGTAAGACTGTCTGTGGCTAGGAGCAGGGTTCCCTTCTCCGTTGCCCTCAGTAAGCATTTAGAGTGGGGAGGGTTGCCGGGAAAAGGGGTGAGAGTTTGGAGAGATACTTGAGGAAGAGTCCACGCTAATAGCTCTTCCTTCAACTAAGCCAGAAAAAGAATTTTTTAAATGAGCGTTCTGATTGCTGCTTGTTTACCACCACTGCCTGTTTTTTCTTTTTTTGCTAAGCTCTGTGCCAGGTAACTACCAGATTCTTTGCATAGGTCTTATTTGTGTATTCCTAGTGAGGTCAGTTGTCGCCCCCACTTCCTCCATCTAACTCAGGATCTTGTGCTTGCAAGGCAGGCCCATTGCCACTGAACTAAATCCTTAGTCCTATTCACCGTTTTTTTTTTTTATCACGAAAAGACTGGAAGAAGACTTCATTCCAGGACTCCTTCAGAAAGTGGCAAGAACGCTGGGCATGGTGGTACACCACTATAATCACAGCTCTTTTGAGGCTGAGACAGGATGATCACCATGAGTTCAGGGCCAGCCTGAACTACACAACAAGACACCAGCTAAGTAGAACAATGAAGGGGGTGTCGGGGGTGACGTGGCAATGTGCCTTTTACTGTAATTTTTGTTTAATTTTGGACATTCACCTTATATTTCGATCACCCCTTGTATACAGTGGTTCATTTATTCAATTGCTTGCGTTGGATTTTGAGGAGGTATCCGGTTTGGGCCTGTTTGGCAAATGTTTAGCTGCTCTGAACATTCTTACACAAGGCTTCTTGTGGATTTAGGTTTTTTTATTTCCCTTAGAGAAATAAATTCTAAGGAGTGGTATTGTTGGTCATTGTGAAAGAAGTATGTTTAGCTTTATTAGAAACTGCTGTCAGGCATGTAATCCCTGTAATCCCAGCATCCTGGAAGGCTGAGGCAGGCAGGAGGATTTTACATACTTGAGCCCATCCTGGACAACTTAGTGATTTAGTGATACCCTGCCTCAAAATAAATTTTTTAAAAAATGCCTAGGGGTGAGGAGCCAGGGATTCAGCTTACTGGTGCCACACCTGCCTGGCAATGTCCTGAGTTGGATTTCTGGTACAAAAAAAAAGCTGGAGATGTAGTTCAGAGTGAAGGCCCTGGGTTCAATCCCAGGACTGTAATCAGCCAGTCAGTCAGTGGGCTGGCGATATAGCTCATGGCGGAGGCCCTAGGTTCAGTGGGGGTGGTAACCCATGACAGCTAACCAGTTGCCCCTTGTGCATTTCCTTTATGCAGAGTAGTGTAGAAGAGTTGATCTATCTATCTATCTATCTATCTATCTATCTATCTATCTATCTATCTATTGAGACAGGGTCTCACTATGTAGTTGAGACTGACCTGGAACTCACTGTGTAGCCCAGGCTGGTCTCGAACTCACAGCTATCCTCCTGCCTCAGCCTCCCGAGTGGTGGGATTATAGGCGTGTGCCACACCCAGCGAAGAGTTGATTTTTGCTTGTTGGCTGAGTTTTTCCCTTTGGGAAGTGCTGTTTATTGCCCAGCTTTTATTGGGTCTTGTCACCTTTTCATATTGATTTGTAGAAACTCTTTACATATTTTGAGCCATTCCAGCCTCAAGGATATGCACCATGGGCCTGGCTTGATGGGTTCTCTCTGCATCCTAAGAAGTTTTGGTGTTACAGCTGTTGATTTTTTTCTGGTGCAGGACTGTAAAACTGCCATCCTATATTAAAGCGATTGATGGCTTTTAGTGGGCTTTCACATTTGTTCTTATTTAGACCTTAGAGTAACCCTGAGTCAGTCTGGGTAAGTGGCAGTGTACTCATTCAAGATGAATAGCTTTTCAGCTGTTGGAGTCTGTGAGTTGGCCCATAATTCCAGGGCAAAATAGGGGCTGATTCACATTTCTAGAGCCCTCCATGCCTGGCATTTTCCCCTAATATATTAGATCAACAAAAAACTGACATGCAAGGGTTTGGAGTTTATTCTGCAGGCAGTTACAGAGCCCTTGAAGAATTAGGAACAGGGTTTAAGGAAGTTTAAAATGGCAGGCTCGTCTGTGTGGCAGGAAGACCAAGACAAGACGAGAGAGTGGGTTACATAGGGCCAGTGTTCTGCTCAGGTCTTTCGTTTTCTAATGCAGTGAGTAATATAGGGGAGGGTTTGGTTTGGTTTGATTTTTCGGTACTGGGGATTGAACTCAGGGCTTCACACATGCTAGGTAGAGGTTTTTATCAGTTAGTGAATGGTATATCTCCCTGTGATACAGAAGATAAAATGGAAAATTATTATATCTCCCAAACTGTTAGATGTCTGATGCCTAGCTCTTGTTCTATGAAAATTGAAGGATGAATTCTAGGAACAGTGGAGGTTAAGAGTAAGGAGGTGGGCTGGGGATTTAGCTCACTGTTGTCGGCACCTGCCTCCAAAGCGCACGGTCCTGAGTTTGATCCTTGGTACCACCAAAAAAAAAAAAAAAAAAAAAAAAAAAAAAAAAAAAAAAAAAAAAAAAAAAAAAAAAAAAAAAAAAAAAAAAAAAAAAAAAAAAAAAAAAAGAGTAGGAAAGTATTTACTAGAAGGATAGCTCCTGAGAGGCAGGAGGGACCTGAGTGGGTAGCCAGGGACCCACTTTATTTACAGAGAGGCTTTTAGAGCAAAACTCAGGTGTGTACAATGTGGGTTATGGCTGTGATTAACCAATAAGGTTACGAGTATAGGTAATAATCTAACTGGAGAGGGCTGGAGGTACTGCAAGCACAAGGCCCTGAGTTTGATCCCCGGTTCTGCAAAAGAAAACCAAACCAAAACAAAACAAAAGAAACTAATTGGGGGGAGTCACATAAAGTGTACATGGAAAGTACAAAGACTTTCCTAGGGAATGATGGGTCCAGCAGTCTTGGTCACCCACAGGGTGACTGATGTTTATCTAGAGTTCATTAGGCCCCATGTTTGTCTTTTGAGGAGATGTGCAGGCCTGGTCATTTCAT